GTGTTTACAGATGCTAAAAAGACGTGCTGGGCCCTGCTGCTTGTCTGACTTGAGCATCTTTGCAAAATCCTTTAGGACTTCCATCAGCAGGTCTATGAAACTATGCCCAAAGCATAGAAATGCATCTATTAAGTGAGAGCTCTCTCTTCATGGCTATTTCCCTTTTCTGAATCCATGCACTGAGTAGATGAAAATTTCATTTCATGAAATCACTTGATGTGAATTCAGAGTTGTAACCCCACCCCCTCCCCCAATAATTTCAATGGGATTACTCTGGATTTAAACCCAAGGAAGAGTTTTGCTTTACAATTTCACTAAGTGTCATTTAGCTGTAAATGTTTTACAGCTCGGGTTTCCAAAAGGAGCTGAGGCTGTTGGTCACTTAAGAAATGTGGGTATCTAAATCCCTTAGGCTCCTTTGAAAATCCCATATTCCATGTTTATGTGTATAATGCATGAAAACCTTGTCTCACTGAAGTCGGTGCAAAATCCCATTGACCTCAGTGGGGCTAGGGTTTTGCCCTGAGAGCTTGATTGCATGTGGAAGTGAAGAGGGTGTAGAAAGCCTTCCCTAGACTCTTGCAAGCTGGCAAAGAAGAATTTTTCCAACTATTTGAGTTGGTCTAATAAAAGGATCAGATTTACCCAAGGAACCTTGTCTTCCCTAGGCTCTGGGTCAGTTGTGGACAGAGTCCTCTCTGCCGGGCAGGGGAGGTGCCAGATCTCGGTGCCGCAACGAAGCTCGTGGAAAGGACAGGACAGGTCTACCCTTGCTCTTTGCTAGGCTTGCAGGGATTTTAGGAGGAAGAGGAAGGGCATTGTACCAGAACAATGCCCTCCAAAGGCCCCCGGTATGGCAGAGAGGAACAAGAGGAGCCCACAGCTATGACTGCAGACTCCTCACTAGCTAATCCAGCCCCTGCTTCTTTCATTTGAATATAGCTTTTGCATGTTGGCTGATGCGAGGGCCTGAGGAATTTGTAGGCAAGCTCTGGTAGCTCAGGCTAGATAAACTGCAGCTTTCAGGTCAGGAAAAAATGACTTCATGCTCTCCACGTTGACGTGCTGATACAGAGAAGAGAGCTCAGGCTTTGTGATGCAAGATCAGCCCTGGTTTTGTTTATTATGGAACAAGTAGAAACATGAGGAGCTAAACCTACTTAACTCCTCAGCCTGTGTTGGGAAGGGGTAAGCAGACAATGAAACAAAAGAAAATACAGCGCCGTGCCTCAGGTGGGTCCCACAGGGTTCAATATCGATGAAAAGTTTTGCCTGAAATTAAAATTCAGTATTTGAAGCACCAGCCAGAAAGCGGTGAAACTTTTCAGGGTGAGATGGACAATACTAGGTTGAAAACACATGCACATTTTTGTCGAGTGCTTTAAGGCAGCTCAGAGCAAAGGCAAAGAGTAGCTGTCCTACTAAAAGTTTGCCTGGCTAGTCAAAAATTGGGCATGAATTTTATTAATAAAAAAGTGTATGTACTGTTTTTTAGACCTAGGAACACACAGCTGTGTGCTGGTGACTTCAGTGGAGCCTGGATAGTCCCAAATTTGCCAGGGCTAAATTAGGCATGAATGTACAGAGATTACAGCCCAAGCACAGGTAGTTCTGTAAGAAACTCTGAAACTGGGCAGAGGCCTCGAGTCATCAAGGGTTGTACTCTTATTAAAAACTTAAGCAGCAGAGTTTCTCAAAGTTGAGGTATATGTGTGTGTATACGCGCACACATACACACAGTGTACATAGTTGCTTTACCATTGACCTGTGGCTGGCCTGTTGCAGCAAGTCTTATTTATACATTCTCACTAGAAAAAATAAATAAGGGTGACATTGACACCCTTCTTCCGAGTGCGAATTAACTCCATTCATCTTGTGCTGCTGTCTGAAACACCTTGGCAAAGGGGAAGCGTTGCTTGGGCAGCAGTTCATTTCACAGATTTCATAGCTCTTAGGGCTGGAAGGGACTTCGCAAGATCATCAGCTCCAGGTCACTGTCCAAAGGGCAGGACGTCAGCTAGCGTCAAATAATCCCAGCAAGATAAGCATCCAAGTGTATCTTGAAGGCATCCAAAGTAGGTGCTGGCATCACTTCTGGGGGACATCTGTTCCAGGCTCTGGGAGCACAGATGGTAAAGAGTTTTTTCTTATGTCCAGCCTAAAACAGCCTTTGCAGAGTTTGTGACCGAGTTGGGACTGGGCTGCTCTCCTACAGGAGGATGCATAGGGCACGCTCAGCTAAGATATCCTGCTGTTTGGTACATGTGCACGGCCCTCAGCCCTGTTGTATCTGCATCTGTCTGGGATGTTAGTGAGTCCATCCTTGCAAGATCCCTGTAAACTAATGAAGTATTATTGCCTCCTTCCTTCCCCCCCCCCCAATTTTAGAGGTCGATAACCAGGGCGCATAGAGGCTAAGTGACTTACCTGAGGTCATGTAATAAAGATTGTGACAGGGCCTAGACCTGACCTTGAGGGTCCTCTGTTCCAATCCAGTGTCTTTTAACCTAAGACCGTTCTTCCCTTTATTGATAAGAGCTATGGTATAGACAGGTCTCCATATAACTACTAGCAGGTTGCCTGCCATATTCTCTAATTCCACTCCAAGCATTTCTAGGGGCAACTGTAGGCACTTTTGTGCTGTAGTTTGCTCCTATACCAACTTTTACCCAAACCTTCATTCCCACCCTCAAGGACATGCTTATTTGTGCCTTAACCCTGTGCTTGTTTGCATGGCTGCAGGTACATTAGAGTCCAAACTGTGCTGTAGCTCAGGCCAGAGCTCACCCGCTTCACGGCAAGGGTGCAGGCCAGATCACTCAAGCAGGGGAAGTCTTCCAGTGTCCCTCCACGAGGACAAACACGTTCTCTCAAAACTGACCTCACTGACGGGGAAGAAACCCTAGAGCAGAGGTTTTCAAACTGGGGCTCGCCACCCTGGGGGGCCATGAAGGAACGCGGTGAAGGGCATAACGCAGCAGGGTGCAGGCAAGAAGTCTGCAAGGAGCCGGCGCCACTGCAGCCTTGCTAGAGGATGCAGGGAGCCCTGGGCAGGCTCCACCAGTGGGCCTCCAGCAGCCTGGCGCGGTGGGCACGCAAGCCATGGAGGGGTCGAGGCAGGAGGCGCTGGGGCCACTGCGGCTGCTAGGATGAGGGATGCCCTGTGCCTGGCTGCCCTGGGGCGTGGGGGCTGCTAACAAAATTGTAACTCAAAGTGGGGGCTCAGCTCAAAAAGTTTAAAAACCGCTGCCCTAGGGCCTCACCAAAAAGAGCCACGGGCTATGTCCCCAGCATATACAGGTGTGTGCCGCAGGGACAACGTGGTAATGCGGGCAGGGCTTTGCTAAGACGAAGTTCAGCTTGGGTCAGGGCTCATGCTAGTTCCCAGACCCTGACACCAGTGACACAGGCTGACTGTGCCGTATGGACTTAACCTGTGTCTGAATCACAGCTTAGTTGTCTGTGCTGATGTTCACACCCTGGCTACTATCAACATAGTTTAAGTAATGTGAGGACAGTCTGGAGTTAGCGTGTATATGCCCTTGGAGTCCCTGAGCTGTTGCAAAGATTTCTAGAAACACATTTGACTTGCAAAGTGACTTAAATACTTTTTGAAAATGAAATGTAGGCTCCCAAGCCACTGAGCTGTTTCTGAGCACGTTAGCCAGAGTCAGCAAGGAAAGGCAGGCAGTAACATTTGTCCTGTTGAGCTGCTTCAGGCTCAACGGTCTTGCTGTGTTCAAGCAGCTGTCACAGGATGGACCCTTATACCTCTTCTAGGTTGAGTATCTTCCTCTTGGTAACATGTGGTTTATGTGCCCAGCATCTCTCTATGTGGCATTATGGTGGTAGACACCTCACCTTTGACAGAGTAGCGGTTCCCAACCTGTGGTGCAGGTACCACCAGTGGCACACAAACAACCTTTCAATGGTACGCATTAACATATTTATTATAATTACTTTATACAACAAAAATTTGCTGGTGGTACTTAAGGTTGAACTGAAAAATGTGCTGGTGGTACTTAAGGTTGTACCGTTTCAAATTGGTGGTGCGCAGTCTGTCAGAGTTTGAGAACCGCTGGCTTAGAAGATGGGTGGATATTTCTAGTTATCCTTCCTTCTCCCACCAGCCTCTGCAGACCTTAAAATCTGGCATTTGCGTGCATGGCTTACTGGTTGGCTTTGTCAGGAGCCATGTTATATCAGATAGCTAGATGTGGCCCCCCAAGAGATGCGGAAGTAGAGCCCTGTAATATTTCCTTAAGCAGAAATCAGATCTCAGGAGGCTTTTTTTTTGCCATCCAGTATAATGAGTTTGCCGCTGCTGCTGCCTTAATTTGGAGTTAATATGTAATGTTTGTAGCAATGCCAAGAAACATTGCTGTCTGCTTAAAGCAGATTATAAAAGTATCTTGTGCTAACACACAAGCATTTTAAAACTTATCCCCATTCAAAGGTAACATGAATCCTTAAAACTAAAATCACTTGTAGTTTAAGAACATAAACATGATGAAACCAGTTTCGGGTTGGGCTTTTTTCCATTAAAACAGGTACAGAAAACATTTCCCTTTGCTTAGAAGCAAACCTTTTCTTCTCGCATTTTTCCCTCGTCTCACTGCTGAACTATCAGTACCTTGGCTGCTCCAACATCTTGTTGTCACCCGCCGTTGTTGGGGGCTCTCGTGTTGAAGGTACAAGCGTGTATCTTTGAATCCATCGGCTAGATTCTGACCCTAAACCAGAATATATCTGCTGGTTGGTCTCGGTAGAGGTACTCCAGATCGGCACTGGTATTACTGTAACTGAACTGTCCTAATAAACATTAAGTGCATACACACTCTCTACATACGCAGGAATCATTAGCTGATTTGCTACAGAAGGTAGCAGTTTACCTCCCATCATGCACATGCCAAGACTACCTAAAATGCAGCTGCTCATCAGCTGATACTATGCACTGCAGAAGTAAGCGTATTTTTTTTTCTGTCTCTTCCCCTTCCCAGGTGCTCCTTATTGGACTCGGCCAGAAAGGATGGAGAAGAAGCTGCTGGCTGTGCCCGCAGCCAATACTGTTCGCTTCCGCTGCCCGGCGGCAGGGAACCCCACTCCATCCATCTACTGGCTGAAAAATGGCAAAGAATTCAAGGGAGAGCATCGCATTGGAGGCATCAAAGTAAGGCATTGATGGGCTAATCTTGACCTCCGTATTTCGGTTAATTGCTGGTTCCATTATTGACTGACAGATTAGAGCCTCTGTTCACTCAGCAGCCCTGACAGGGGCATGTGATCATGAAATCACTGGCTTTACATAATAACTAGCTCCATGACCATTTGGGCTTCTGCCCTTTTTTCTGCCTTTACTCCCTGCGCCTCCAGCCAGGAAATTATTTTTTCTAAAGTGTTTTTTAAAAAATGCTGTTTTCCAGGACCTCTGTGATTGAGAGGCAATGTATCTCTGTGTGTTGGTCATGAACCAGGGTGACTTCTGCTAGACTGGGGATATTTTTGGTAACTGTGGTAATTGTTTGGATGCACGTGCATTAAAAGTAGCTGCTGGTAGAGTACTAAGTCTCCCAGCATTTGCCTATGTCAGTCACTCAGTGGTCGGATTAAAAACAGATCAAGTATATAGTTGTAGGTAAAATAACTAGATGCAACTAGAAGGCACAAGGGGCCAGATTTCTGGCCTTGAGTTTTACGGGAAATGCGGAGTAATGCCAGTGAGATTCATGGAGTAACTCAAGGTCTGCACCTGTGTAAGGTAGAGCAGGGTTTGGCCTACATAATTAAAAATGGGACTCTTATCTTGAAAAGTGTAATGTGAGCCCTTCAGAAATGCTGGGAGATCTCAGTGATCATGTTTGTGGGCATTAACATTCTTGTGATGTAGCGATTGACCCCGTGGTCAAGTGATGGGAACCTCTTTGCCCTGGGTATTGCAAAGGAGACAATGGCTGCTAAAGGTGTTTTGATTTGAGAGGTATTATAGCTGCTGTGTCTACAAACAGAGCCTGTGAAGAGTGAGAAGCAGTAAACTGCAAGGAATGCTTGATAAGATGACTTGTTCAACCAAAACCCCTTGTTCAACCAGTGGTATCTGAATCGCTTTGTGGCGCTACATCAAAATAAGACAGGAGCTTAGCAGGAAAATCGGCTGTTCTCATTTTGCCTTTGCTTATCTCAGGTGCTTTTTCTGGGGACAGAATAAGAGCAAGATGGCTATAAATGCAGCAGTCACAGGAAAGACCTTTATTTGAGGCTGTTTCCTTTCTACTCCCTCGGATTACCCTCCTAGCAGAGCTAAATGTGACTGTTTCGCCTGAAACCTTTTGAAGCGCTTTGCTCAGCGGTGGGTCACATCCTGGTTGGTCAACAAGGTGGAGGTCACACAGGAGAGAGAAGTTGAGGAAAGGAAAGAATTACGGAGGAAAACTTCCTTGCCGTTATCAGATCCCAGATAACATTTACAAGACACCAAGCAGTGCGCAGAATTTTTTATATTGATGGCGTGCTGTTAGGATCGTGATAAACTACTTTCCGGCTCGGGCGTGCACTTTTATAAACTGCCTTGCACAAACGTGTGCGATATGAGCTGCACTAAATTGTGTTTCCAGAATAAAACCTAATGCCGAAAGCTGTTTCCCTTCCCACAGTCCTTGAGCTCACACTGACCACTTCCGTTTCTGCAGCACCGTCTCACAAATGGGCACCTTCCAGCAGTAGGTCAATACTTAAAAGGCCACGGAAGGCAATTTCAAATTAGTTACAGCCATACTAGTTAAATCTCACTTATCTGGGGCAGGGGACTGGACTCGATGATCCTTCGGGGTCCCTTCCTGCCCGAATGCCTATGAAATCTATATAGATATAGAGAGCTCTACCTCTACATTTATCTCCATCTACCTAGTGGACTATCCAGCCTCTAAGAACAACCTGGGAAGCTTAGCATTCACTCTTTTTGTCCCCAAAAGTCAGAGTAGCTTTAGATTATTTTTTTTAAGTCTTTGGTCAAGAAGGATGCTGGCCTTTGCAGCACGCAAGCTTAGACTTTGGTTGAATTGAATTGTAATGTCTTTTTTGCCTCTTTTTATATGGCATGTCGATTCTATCTAAGGATCAATCCCCGTTGCAAAGGCGACAAAATGGAAGCTAAAGTCTTTAAAATATGAAGCGCGGGAGAAACTCCCCTCCATCTATTTCATCCTTAACTGGTGGAGGAGTGAAATTCATATGACTTATATGAATTTTCCCAAAGCGCATTAATAGTTAAATCCTTTTTGGAATCTATAATATCATAAGCCTGTGTGTGTTAAATGACCCTAGAAGGAAAGAGCTGGGGGGGGAGGGTTTGAGGATTATCCTTTCCCCAGACCATTGCACTGACTTGCATACCAGTCTAGCAAACATAGCTTGAGCTTCTAAGTGTGTCTGCAAATGTTTGTCTCGTAGGGAGCCAAGAATGACAACACCCAATAAACCAGAGGTATTTCCAGTATCTTGCCGACCTTTATTAACATCTGCACTGAGTTATTCGGTGTGTCTAGTGTTTTATCAAGTATAGCACCTATCCAGAATCAGGAACATCCCTTTCTTGAATCTAGAATCTGCTTTCAGCTAAAACTTTTCCTTATTTACTTCTTTTGCAAGTAAGTTCTGCCTCATGGGGATGTGGGCTGAGTCATAACATTTAGCCTGCATGTAGACTATAAAGTTCAAGTCCCAGAAACTGTGGTGATAAACTCTTAAAAGAAAAAAAAAGTCTGTCTTGTTCTGGTGTTTGTAGCCAGGTCTGTGTTACGGCTCACGAAGGAAATTGGAGCCACTGTAGGTTTCATACATGGATCTGCCCTGCTTCGAAGTTCAGATCCTAGGTTCCGCAGCAATAATTGCTTTGAAAATGCGAAGTTTCAGGGTGAAACTGCCTACATTCAGCTTTCTGGTGCAGAATCCGCTGGATATCTGAGGGCAGAATTTGAGCCTGTAGTCTTCAGGCTGCAGAAAGTTTAGCTGCACCTTCATGTTTTATTACACATGCATTGAAGTGAAAAGAAGGACTTTGGTCGACTGTTAAGAACAAAACTCAGGCAAGTTGGCCAGTCAGCTTCTGCTTATGAGAATGCAAAGATGGGGACAGTGCAGCTTTATTACAATTGGCTTGCTTGCTTTATTACAATCAAGTTTTATTAGACCTTTCGTGATAACCCCACTGTGATAATGCCAGTGCCAGCATTTAAATGTTTGATTACCATTTGTTCCCTTTAAACCAAATCATGGGGGCATGGGAGCTTGATGCTTGAATTCTGCTGCAGCTAGAAGGCTCAATCTGCATAGCAAAATCTTGCTGGCTTAGCTGTGGCCACTCAGGATGAACCACACAGGTGATATAGCCAGGTCAGCAAAATCCACAGCATGAATGCAGCTGTAGCAGAACAAGGCTTCTGCCAACTCAGGTTCTGCTGTTTCAGGAGCTGGTGTCAGTCCAGTAGCAGACAATCTCCTCCTCTCGGCTACACGGAAGACTCCCTGCACCATAGCTCAGGGTGCAGCAGTTCCCTAGAGCAGACAAGCCCCAGAGGTGGCGATTTGGTTATACCCATAATGTACTTACCCAGCCGTAGATGAGAGAGCGTAAAGACCTGGCATCACTGAAGCTGCCGTTCTGTTTTCTTTGTACTGAGAGTCCACTTGCAAATGTTTGGATGCGTTACAGTTACCTACCACCTGGAGGGAGGTTCTCATTTAAGACTGCTTGCAAGCATTAAAAAAAAACCAAAAATGACATTTTACTTTAAACGCTGCATGTTCCCGCACCAAGTCCAGCATATGCCTGGAAGAAGCAGCACACCAGTTGGGCCTGGCCCACCTGACGTCTGTATAGATCAAGTACTTCAGTGGGGCATTTTTGGCACTTTTATCTAATAGCCGATTGACCCAGCTTTAGATGAAAGCTCCAAAAAGCCCCACTGACGCTCCCAATCTGTACAGATGCTGTGGAGACTCTTCCAGCAAAGTGTAGGTTCTTTTGTTGTTTTTCTTTTTCAATGTCTGTAAGCAGCCTCTATGTCCAGAGGTTTGGGTAGGGTTGTTCAGTGACTGTTTCTAAGAGATTCGACTCCTAAATGTACATTTTGCATGTGTGAAAATCCCTTTGAGTACTGACTGCCCAAGAGTGCTTGCTTTGTAGCTCTGGTCCCAGTTTGCAGTGCTTCCCATGCATGTTCTTTCTCTTAACTAATTGGAAAGGTGGCTTGTGTAGTGCAGGCCACATGAATGGCACAGGTCAGGTCCATGGGCTGAATGAATGGCTGGATCAGGCCCATGGACTTCCTGGTGCATGCTGGATCCAGTGCACACAGTACACACTCCAGCTCATTTGGGATTGTCCCACATCTGGCACCCACTCTGGCTGCTTCAAAACTCTCCTGCATGTGGTAGCTGCCCAGACTAGTTAGGGTGGATGCAACACCTGCAGGCCACATCTTTGACACCTCTGCAGTAGTGAGTAGTCCACCCTGTACTCGGCTGTATCAGTATACAGTATCAGCATGTCACCATTTTTTCCTTTTTCAGATCTGCCAGTGATAGCCCCTGCCATCTTGGTCAGGTCTCTTTTAAGAGACCTCGCTAGTCTCTCTTTCTAGTCAGTCTTAAAAGGAAAGATATGGAGTCTCTGGGAGTACAGCAGAGACTAGGAGGATCCACCTGTACTTTACAGTATTGGTTCTCCCGTGACTCTTCATGATTTTTTTTTCACCTGTTAGCATGTAGAAGACATGCAATCAGATAACCAGTACCTTTATAGAGAAGGAATGTGAAGCTGGCTGTAGATGAAGTACTGCCAAGCTCCCAGTTTAAACAAGCCACGAAAATGGAGAATATTTTTCTTTTTTTACAATCTCTTTCAAGTCTAGTGACCTGAAGGGTTACTGGTTGCAGCAGTAGGTGAAAGATCTGCAGACAGAAACAAGTTCCTTTAAGCTGAGGCAATCTCTGGACCTCAGTTGTAAAGTTATCTTAATTAATCGTTCTTGGATCCTCTGAAGAAAGGAATGACATACAGTGCAGCTCTGAATTGCTTTCGTTATTTTCTGTCTCGTGGTAGTGCCTAGAAGCTCCATCAGGGTCTGGGTTTGTTGAGCTCGCTGCCTGCCATGCGGTAGAGTCAACAGCCTGATTCTCATTTCTTTATTGCACCCGCTCATGTGTCGTGCCTTAAAGCAGGCATCAGTAATATTTGCCCACTGGCAAAGTGGGTATAAGTGGGTCTCAGTCCGAACACGAAGGAGGCAAGCGAATGTTGATGTGCTATTTATATTGATCCAACACAAGATTAGCTGTCAATGTTTGATTGACGTTGGTTTGTGGGTTTTTTCTCCCTTTAGTTACGCCATCAGCAGTGGAGTCTTGTCATGGAGAGCGTGGTCCCATCCGACCGGGGGAACTATACATGCGTTGTGGAGAACAAGTACGGCAGCATTAGGCACACTTACCAGCTAGATGTGTTAGGTGAGACTCCTCTGATTCCTCTTCACTTTTATTATGCAACAGTCACCTGCCATGAACTCGCAGCCCTCTTACCAGACCTTCACAAAGGGCTCGATCGTGTTTCCCTTATTGTAATGGAAAACCTCCCACTGACCTCAACAAGGCAGGTTTGGGTCCCTCCTCCACGGTGGGCAGCTGCTGGCAGCAAAGAGGAAAAGGAGTGAATGGGTGTGGGCGGTGGGAAGCCCATCCTACAGATGCCCAAGCTGTGTCTCCCGGCTGCGAGTAAGCAGAGAGCTGTCAGCTCCAGGGTGGTTGGTTCAGTGTCACTTGGGAGCACTGAACTCCTGTTCCTAAACAGACTCTTGCCATTGCTGGTGGTGGTGTTGAAAGCAGCAGATGGACACATTCTTTAAAATGAGAGAAAAGTTAAAATGGCTTCTCCCTTTTCATTTCAGAAAGGTCTCCCCACCGGCCTATCCTCCAAGCAGGATTGCCTGCCAACCAGACCGTGGTAGTAGGAAGCGATGTCGAATTCCACTGCAAAGTTTACAGCGATGCCCAACCTCACATCCAGTGGCTGAAACATGTGGAATTCAATGGCAGTAAATATGGACCTGATGGGACTCCTTATGTCACAGTGCTAAAGGTTGGTATACACCATTTGCATTCACTTAACGCCTCAGCCAGGCTGGTCACCATGATGGCCTCAGTGCTGCTAAAGTACATCCAGAATGCCCCCCCCCCCAATTATCACCAGGATCTCTGTTTTGTGCACAATGTGAATGGTTGCAATTGTTGTGTTAGCCCACGGATGTGCAATACAGCCCATGCTCATAGATAATGCAGAGTTTGCACTTAGCCAGCTGGCCTGTTCAGAGCATCAGCTTGCAATGCTTGCAGGCCTAATTAAGGAGGTCTGTGGAAGATTTAAGGCCTTAGGGTAAAATCTTGGCCCCATTTGAGGTCTATGGGAGTTTTGCCATGGACTTAAATGTGGATAAAATTTCACCTGTAATGCTAATCTTTCTATGCCTTAGCAGATAAATTAAAGCTAAATAGATCCTAGTAGAAATTCAGGCTGTAAATTTAGGGCCCAATGGGATGGACTCCTCCTCATGTGAAGTAGTTCCCAAATAAATTGTGAATTAGACTAGATTCTTCAGTTTATTAATCTGCTGTGTTATACAGGTAAGAAGATTTTCTGTGTTTAAAGAAATGGTGCCAGTTCCTGTCTCTAGAAGTACCTGTGCAAAGCTAGTCCTTCCCAGGGCTTGTATCTTGATAGGGTCATTTTTATATGCCCAGGGTTAATTAAAAGGACAAGATAAAAGAGGATGTTTTCCAAGTCCGGTTGTATTTGGAACTCAACTCTACTTGTTGGGGGTCATATTTTTTGCTGCTAGACAAGTGCATTAGGAGCTCTATCGATGAGAAGCGACTGCGATATGTAGTGTCATTTAGATTAATCACAACTGTTTCCTGTGACTACTGAAAGACATGTACAGCCGTCTCCTCAGTTTTAGCCAAGTTGCAGTGCATACCAACTACGTCTGTTAGTGATCCAGTTGTAAAACGTGTGTGGGTGCTCTGGCAAAGAGGAGACTTGCAGAAGTCTTGGATCTGTGAATTAGAGAACTCAGCAGTGCGCAGATAATGTTTTGCAAAATAAAAAATGCAAACTACAGACAAATATATATGTTGGAGGCCCTAGGTGATGTTCTCAAAAGTGGCTTGTAGGCATCTTCAAAGGTGCTTATGTATCTAATTCCCACTGAAGGTGTTAGGCTCTGAAGTTTCAGTGACATTCTGCCAGACTTGGGCTTCTACATGCTGCTATCGCTCTTGAGGAAGGATCTGAATTACTTAAGTGCATTTCAGAATTTGTCCCAAATACTCAGAATTAGGAAAGATAAACCAGGAGGCTTTCTCAAACTAAATCTCTGTTTATGGTTACACTGTACTTGTGTCAAGAGTGTAGACTAGCATTTGGGTGCTCTTTCAATGGAGGTGGTAAACTTTATTTCCATATTCAGAGGTTCTAAGCAGGAATTATAAGAGAGCTAAAAGCCCAGTCAAAACTAGCTAGTAATGCCACAATTCCTAGGGAGAGAAGTGTTGTCTAAATTGCATCATCCATGCACTTCAAGTTCCTCTAATACAATTGTTGCATCTGCAGGAAGAGCTTAATGAGAAGAATCCAGGCAGAGCTGTTGGGTTACCCTTTTTTCCTGCATCTGTCTCTGAATGCGCACAAGGCCCAGAATATTTGACTGTAAAAGTCCTTTTTAGCAGTAGAATGACAAAATATTGTGCTTAAAAATAATATCCTTCTCTATCTGGAAGGAGGTATATATAGTGAAGTGTTCAGAAACAGATGTTTAGATCTCCACTGGCACCCCGCTTCCCTTATACTGCCGCAGCACAGAGAGAGAAACAAGTGGTGGTGAGCATTAGGATACATTTCCTACAACTGCTATGACAAAAGATACCGGCAGGTTGTATTTAACCAGGAATTGCTGAAATAACTTTTTACATCAGCAGAAGTATTCCTGTGACTTGCATGCAACCTAAGTAATGCAGCATTGTCCTAGTGCCTGGGGGCCATGATGTCACAGTGATTGGCCTCCTGCACATTAGTTCACACCATTAACATTAGCAGAGCTGCCCAAATTCAAGAAAGCATCTCTACTAGCAAAACACCATGAAACCTTAAAGTTGGAGTCTGTTTAGATAGGCTTTACACAAGAACGTCAGAATTGCCATTTGTTGAGTCAGACCATAGGTCCATCTTACCCAGTACCCTGTGTCACAGTGGCAGAGTGTATGCTGAAAGGGAGAGTGAACTGGATACGCCCAGGGTTTTTTCCACTGTTCCTCTCTCACTTGCAGCATCCAACATTTAAGGTCTGAATAGGAAGCAATCTGGGCATGCAGGTAAGCACTCTTGTAGATGGGACCTTCTAATGTTGAGACAATAAGACTCGTGGACTTCAAATGAAAATAGAGCTAACCTGTCCATTTCCCCATTTGAGCTGTGAGAGCTCTAAACAGACGAGAGCAGCAACAGTGAAAAGTGCATTAGACGAAAAATTTCTCCTGCACTTTGAATGCACTAGTGTGGTATAGGGAAGGACATTTAAAATGCATAGGGCTGAATGGAGTTACTCCAGCTTTGCACAGATACAGCTGAATACAGAATTCAGCCTTTGGTTTCTAACCCAACCCTGCCCCAAGACACAGCATTTTGTCACTGTCAAGGCACCCTTTCTCTTCACGTGAAATTAAAGACATTCTCAGACTATAAATACAAGTGCTAACTTTGTAAGGGGTAATAAAGGCAGAGACCCTAAAAAAATCATTTCACTGATCAACCAAAGACAGTGGAAGAAATGGCTGGAGATGAATGCTCAGTATTTGGCACTGTGAGCTTCTAGCAAGTCGATAAATCTTTGTTTTCTGTCTGTGCCTCGAGTTTGCTTGAAATATGACTATTTTAATTTCCCATCGGTTTTGCTGCAAGGCACAGAGTGCTGAATTACTAGCTGTGTCACATGCCACACGGTATAGCCTCTTTGCTTGGTGTGTGGTCCCTCCAGGATGAAGTGCTACCTTTGGAAGCTCGCAAAGTTGCTACAAGCAACAGGTTGGGTCACCAAATGCAAGCCTTTACTATGCTGTAGCAAAGACCTTTGCATATAAATAGTGTTTTAAAATTTAAATTTGAGCAGCAGAAGGGTAGCGAGGTTATTAGAACTGCCAAATACTTTCTCTTTAGATAGCATAAACTGTCTTCCTAGAAGTGTGAGCCTTGGCAGCCTCTTGATTTTAGTTTTATTCAGTAGGAGGAGCCACATAACTTCTGGTGAACACAGACTGCGCTGGGTTGCGCATTGTCCCAAATAGTTCCATGTTGGGGGTGCATTGTTGTTCTCAAATACTGGACAGCGGTTTGCTGTGATCAGGCCCAGCTTTGTACAGAAATTTTTTTCTTTAAACCAAAAGATGCAGATGTCCAAGGTAAGGCTTTATCTTGGAGCTGGTTTGCTCCTGCCCATCAGACCTTCCCGCATGTCATTCTGGCATGGAACAGATTTTACTTTCCCCCACCCATGGAAGCTGACACATGCTTTGACTTTGGTCCCTAACAGTGATGCAAGGATACTACCATGTCCTCCCTGCCAAAAGGGTTCTCTTATTTCTGGTGTAATTTCCACAGGTCTGGAGGGAAATGGGGGCTCTCACATGACCTACCTATTCTTCTTGCCCCATATGAATCTGCAAGGCAGCAGGGGGTGGGTCTCTAGAATCCAGAATATGGTCGAGAGTATAACATTAGGAGCTTCTGAATTGTCATTTGTGCAAGAAGGAAGATGATCTGCTGTGCATATGAAGATACCCTCCATGCACAGATCTGGCGGACAAGCCCTCCCCTTGCTTAGATAATTAAATTTAATGCTACCCTTTAATCTGTTTTTGAAATTGCTCAACAAAACCAAACCACCATCTGGATCAATTACCGCAAAGCTGGGCCTAATCTGCAAACAAAAAAAGTTCTGTAGAGTACAGGGGGAATTTAGCAGGATGTACAGAGGAACGTTATCTGTGTGCCAGTTGGGGGGATTTAAAACTCTGTGCTCCAGGCTCTGGCAGAGGATAAACTGCACCCTCTGCATCAAAATGCAAGCAGTTTAATTATAAATAATGCAGTAGCAGCTAAAAAAAAAAAAAGAGCTATTCCCTATTAGCTGACTTGATGAAGTTTGTTTGTGCCTGTCTCTTAAGTGTGAGTATTGGGAATGAGACTGGCCAGAAACAGCAAAGCCTATCCAGGAATCTGAGGATCCCTTGAATGACACAGGGGTCATTTGCTGACAGCTAAATTTGCAAACCTCTTTATTTCCAATGGGATACCAGGCAAATCAGGAGGATCTGGCCCTATATTAGGAGTGGGGGGGGGACACACATATATAGCACCAGAGAGAAAAATATCCAAATACGAGAATGCTATGATTTTGGTTTATTGTCCTGAATCAGAGGGGTATTTTTTTCAACTCTTTCACCAGGCACCTTTTGTGGCCCCCCAAAATGGTTGCTCAGAGTCATCCCAAATAAAAACAACTGTTTAGAAACAAGCCAATGCGCTGGTGTGGCAACTTTGGAAGAGAAGCGAACCTCATATAACATTCTGAAGTTAATTTGATTTGTATGCACCATTTTATTTAGTAAAGAAGAGGCTCCTATATGCAGTGGAAAAAATTACAGCTAATTTCTGAAAAGCAAAGTCAGCAGCAGGCTTCAGACTGCCGCTGCTTATATTTTATTTCCAAATTCTATTCTGGAATCCTGATAATTGAAACAGTATTTGCCAAGTTGAGTCGCAAACAAAACTCCATTTAAGCCCTTTTCCTAGTGCTCCTGTCTACAGAGTTATTAAGAAACAAACCAAGGAATCTTTGGCTGCTGCCAGATGCAGAACTGGGTAACCCTTTTTTTTTTTTCTTTTGAAGAAGGATTGACGCTGCCTTAATTTTAGAAGGACCGGAAAAGGGAGGGGAGTTAATTTGTATGCAGCGCAACTCAGCTGGCTCACCCATGTCTTTATTAGGTGTCTCTGCTCACCTGAGTAAGGTGAACAGGGGTGGTCCTCACACTGAGAAAGCATAAAGGGGTCGTGAACAATCAGTCCTAGCTAACTTAGGTTCAATGGAGGTATTGTTTGGTTTACTGAAGTTCAGGTTTCTGTCTGTTCCTGCAGTCTTGGATCAGTAAAAACGCTGAAGCCGATGCTAACCTAAATCTGTTCAATGTGACAGAACAAGATGAAGGAGAATATCTGTGTAGAGCCAACAATTTCGTAGGCATAGCCGAAAAACCATTTTGGCTCCACATTCGCAAACCAAAACCAGGTAAACTACAGACTCTGTCCCAAGGCCCTAGCAACTGCAAGAATGAGCTGTAACATTTTAAGAAGCTAGTGATTAAAATTACTATTCATTTCATATGACACCCTGTCAACTGACGCTGAATGGCTTTACCTTATTTTCTTGCTAATATTTTTTTTAAAGAACTTAATGCCTATACATCAATTGCAATGGAAAAATTCCCACAATAAAATGACTGTCAAATAGTACTGTCAACTCTCTCTGCTGATACTCCTTTCCCTTCCTTGCGATTAAGTGCTGATAACAGAATTGCATGCTAATGACTGATGACACTCAAAGCTCTAAGAAATCAAATCTTTTAAACTATTTTCGCCCACAAAATAATCAATAAACAGATTTTTTCCCCTTTTCATTAGTTACTCAAACGTATCGATATTGGATCATGCAGGCAAACATGCACTAAGAGAATAAGAAAAGCCCAGTTAGTCTGTTTTAACTCCATCGATTGCACCCTGGAAGAAGTTGTCTAGTCCTTTGCTCAGTCTGTCTCCCGTGTAATGCTGGCAGGTTCCTACAGGACTCTTTCTAATGGTCATCCATAATATCCATGCTGTTGTTACATGATCACATCAAGAGCTGTGTAATCAGTAGGCAGAAGTGGCTCTTGGTTTTCAAATACACATTTTAAAATAATGTTCTTGGATGAACATTTTGCTATTTATTTGATCAGCACTTTGATATTTCCTCATTAGATTCCCCCTCCTCTTTCTCTTTCTCTCTCTCTCTCCTTTTATTTCCCCTTACGATCTCCCTTTTTGTCTTACACTCACCCTACTAACCAACAGTCAGTCATATTGTGGGGGCAATTTTTCATTTTTGATGCTTTTGCTTGCATGCTTCTTTAGTGGGACAGAGTAAGAGCCTGGTGAAGGGAACTTTTTGCTTTTACTACAGGTTGCAAAGGGGAATGAATGAATGAATAAATGTGGAAGATGGGCCATTGAAACGAATACAGTAAAATCTTAATCTGCTTTTGAAATTTGCCTGTAAGTCTGTGGTGTCCTCACCCTTTGCTGGGAATGTGGCTTACTCTGTTTTCCCTCTCTCTATGTGTGTGTATTTTTTCCCCGTAGACGGCAGGTGTTAACACAACGGATAAGGAGCTAGAAATTCTGTACTTGCGAAATGTTACTTTTGAGGATGCAGGGGAATATACTTGTCTCGCTGGGAATTCTATTGGGTTTTCACATCACTCTGCTTGGCTGGCGGTTCTACCAGGTATTTTCTGTGCTGTCCTCTTCCTTTCCTCTTGGGGATGCCCTTTCATGTGTAATTTAGAAATGCCAAGTTCCTGCACGCTCTACCTCACGTTGAGCCAGGAGTTTTGATCCTCAGACAACCTGCCTGCAAGGAAGAACTCTCCTCTTCCATCTGCCATGCCGTCGATACCACTGTTGCATATTAATTGCTTCCGTCTCGGCTGAGGATCTCAAAGCACATCACAGAGTAGCGGTCTCAGTCTCTTAAGACCCTTTTGATTTACATAGTTAATGCTGTGCCTGTTTCTAAATGAGCAGGCTGAAATACAGCCTGTGGGCAGATGGACATTATGCCAGAATTGAAAGGGGAGGGGATAATCATCTGATCCGTGATAACGGTTTAATCCATCCTCTATATCCTGAGGTAGGTAGCAGTTAAATCGAGGCAGTTTAGCCCTGGGATAGAGTAGATGCACCAGTAAATTAATCCTGAGTCAGCTGAGGCTCCTTCCTCCAGTGTTTAGCTCTAATTTGTTCATCTCTCCATACCCACGTGGATCTTAGGCGGAAGGGCACAGCGAGGGCCGCTTCCGAAGCATAATGGCCTGATTTTCAGAGGCACTGATTACTGACGGCTTCAACTGATGGCAGCTCTGAAGATTGGGGCCATGGTACACTGGCATTTAGTTAGTATGGAAAAGTTTAATTGGCATTCAGAGCATGCACAGAGAGATCTGTCTGGCTGATGAGAGAGGAGCAGTGCTAACCTCAGCCCCTGACCTAGGTGTGGGGAGAGGATAAAGAGCCTGAAGCCCTGGCTCGGCAGGATAGGACAGCATGAGGGAGGTGCAGTCCTTAGTTGGGCATCATTCCCACTGAAACTGGGTGTTGTGCTCAAGAGAAGTTGTAGGAACAGACCAAACATAGTTGTCAAGAGTCCCTCAAGACTGCAACAGAAGAACTGCACACTTTCAACCTCTCTGCTTTCCCACCCTCAACCCCCCAAAATGTTTTTCGCATCCAGAAACTTTGGCATTTCTAAACCATGATTTTCAGTGAATTGGTGATTTTTTTTCATATTAATAATTGCCTTTATTAAGGGACTGAGAGTCCCTTCCAAGATTTGCCTTCATACAGTTGGGATCTGCTGGTTCTCCTCTCTCTGTTTGCCAGGTCTACAATAGTCTGTTCCATCCTGGTGTCTCGTTCTGTTTCCACTTCTGCTATCCCCTTGATGTAAAAAAAAAAGATTTTTTTGTTGGTTAGAGAGTCCGGATTTACCTTATTGTAAGCCTCTGCCTCTTGTATCATCAAATCATTGCTGTTGTTTTTAAAGCATGTGAACTTACAATGTATGAAAAAGATACTACAGTGGAACGTTATAGTGAACTCCAATACGATGATGCTTCAGTTGTAACCAGCCATCATTCGATACCCAAATTGTCCCAGCTGGCACGTGAGAGGTGCTGGCTGCAACCTGTTCATAATAAATCTCCCACTTAGGACTCAGTCCTTGCAAAGAGAACATCCCCACACCAGAATATTTAGCTTTGTGAGCACCAGAGCTAGGAGATGGCCTCTGTACCCCAATACCGTATTTCAAGGTAAATGCACTTCCTGCCTGTTGATTAGAGGGCCTGGTCCTGTGAAACCCTTTAATTCCCACTGACCTCAGAAGAGATGGGAAAAGCTCAGCACCTGGCACATTCTGGCCCTGTGGTCAGCTGGTATCTAGCTTGCCGCTACCCAGGTTGTCCGCTATGCATTCCTGTATATCCATATGCTAGGCATACCCTACGCCTACAGCATACCCACTTCCATGTTCCCTTATGGACCGTATGTCCATAGGGCCTGATTCAAAGCCCGCTGAAGTCAATGGAAAGACTCCCACTGGTTTTGATAGGTCTTGGTTTGGGGCTCAAGTGATTCACGTCTGCACTGCCCCTGGAGAGAGAGCTCTACTGTGAGGTTTTTTTACTCCTGTGCCAGTGACTGTAGCTCCACTGATGTTTCCCAATTTAACCAGCTCAAGTTACAGTCCTTAGGGAAATAGCTGGGAAAGGAAATAGGACTTCACTATGAGGAGTTCCGCTGTTGATTAAGAACCATTGTGTGTCTCCATTTCTATATCTTATTTTGAACCTTTTTAAACGTAAAAGTGCCTATCCTGAATGGAACAGGTTGGGGACGATTTTTTGAGTGCTGCTTGGCTTGAACAAGAACCGCAGGATGGAGCCCCTTGTATTTAACATTTAGTTATGCTGTAGTTACCAAAATGCATAAGGCTATGACAGTGCCCCTGCCTGTTTAGTGATCCCATGTAAAGGCTGATTCTTCTGAAGTCACGGGATGGGTCTTTTGGAGAGCGATAAATGATCCTTTAAGAACATTTTTCATTTTAACCTCCCCCAAATGTCTCATTTTAACTTTACTGCCCTTTGATGACAAGGGGCAGGACAAGAAGTAAAGGAGTTAAATTGCAACATTCAGGTTGGATATTAGGAGGAACTTTCTTACTCGGAGAGTGGTTAAGCACTGAAATAGAGTACCTAGAGAGGCTGCAGACTCACTTTCCTTGGCAGTGTTCCTTTCCTGGTTAGACAAACATTTGTCTGGGATGGGTTAGACAGGGATGTTCCTGCCTTGAGTTCAAGCAGGTGGACAAAATGACTGCCTGAAGGACTTCCAGCCCCGTTTTTCTATGATTCTAAGATCCAGGTGGGAAGCTTGAATTGCTGTATGGTTGGTTGCCAGCACTGGGATTAAACCATGTAAAATTCACTGAGGGCAAAACTGATGAGTGAAATACAGGTGCCCAATCCTGCATTCTTTGCATACCTGAAACATCCATGAAAGGCACTGAGGTTCTGGACACACAAAAAAGGTGAATGCACAAAGATGTGTTTGGTCTTAGAGAGGCATTCAGTCCCCACTGAAGTCAATAGGAAGATCCCCATTGGCTACTGTGAGTTTTCATTCAGCCCTACCTGAATTTCTTACGCATATTGTCCCCATCACCCGTCTGCCTGCCTGACTCGTATGTCTTGTTCCTCTGCAGCTGAAGAGCTAACAGAAGTGGACATTGGCTCGGTTTATACTGGCATCCTCAGCTATGGAACTGGCTCTGTGCTCTTCATCCTGGCACTTGCCGTCGTGATTATTTGGAGGATGAAGATGCCAAACAAAAAAGCCATGAACACCCCCACTGTACAGAAAGTCTCCAAATTTCCTCTCAAGAGACAGGTAACAGAAAGTAGATACAAGATTCCTATTCCCTATTATAACCTCCCCTGTCCTCCTTAACCTCCTTTCTAGAACAGAAATCTGATGCTGGAATTCACTGCTCCATCAAAAACCTGATTAACATCAGTGAGCCGATAGCTTCAGAAGAGATCGGGCCCCATGTGTCATTTGATTTCATTTTGATTCATTTGCTCCTGTTTCAGTGAATGTGTAGCTTGTGGTAGTCAACTATTTCCAGTTTCTCTCTCCTAGATGAGCAGTTTCCCAAAGACCCGTGCTTACGTAGCACTAGTCAAACAGTTTCTTAAATCTGCTCTGCTTTACAATACCAAGCAGAAAACAGGCGATCCAACAAACAGTCTACAGGGTCTGCATCCCTGGTCTACAAGGAGGGAAGGTCTGGTGTGAAAATTCGGCATATTGGTTGTGTCTATCCTGCTCCCAGTGAAATTACTAGCAGAACCTCTGGGCAGAATTGGACCAGCTTTCTCCAATGGATGTGACTGCGCTTTGCACCATGTAATCATGTCTAGTCCTAACCACAGCACAGGTGTATTGTTGGCTGGTATTGCAGCCTAATGAACATCTGCATTAAATAGGTCTGTGGGTCTTGCTGGTTCAGTGCATAGTCTCAGCCAGTGCTTTTGAAGCACTGGGAAGGGAAATTTCTGACTCTAAGATCTGAGTCCATGTGCATGAGCACACACTGTGTACAGGCCAGATCCTCAGATGATGTAAATTGGCATAGATAGTCAGCTTCAATGGAGTAACACTGATTTACACCTATGGACAACCTGGCTCTGTGTACTTAAATCTATGCCCTACTACAGTTAGAACACATTACTTTGAATTCCCAGGTTGCAATTCATTGGGAAAACTTTAGTAACTGAAGATCAGACATATTCTTTTTTGGCTGCTTCCTTTGAAGGAATCTGTCCATTAATACAATCTGGAGACAGTCGGCAATAACACCTCATTTGCTCTATTCAAGCAGGTGTCACTGGAGTCAAATTCTTCCATGAATTCGAATACCCCGCTGGTCAGAATCACGCGACTGTCATCCAGCGATGGGCCAATGCTGGCTAACGTCTCGGAGCTTGAACTTCCTGCTGACCCCAAGTGGGAACTAATGAGATCTCGGTCAGTCAAACCCACACACTGAATATATTTGGTTGCTCTTCTGTCTTCATTCTGCACGTCAGCTTGGTTTCCTATTAATGCTTTTGTTTGTATCTGTCATTGCAGCCTGACTCTGGGCAAGCCTCTGGGTGAAGGTTGTTTTGGTCAAGTGGTAATGGCAGAAGCAATTGGGATCGATAAGGACAAACCAAACAAGTCCATCACTGTAGCTGTCAAGATGTTGAAAGGTATGGGAAAGTTTCTGGGAAGGGAATGGCAGAAGCAGGGGAGAGTTTTACAGAGGTATTTGCCTTTGTACCACTTAAAAAATATTAATACCAAAGAAGGGCAACCCTTAAGTGGGCTATTCTGGTGGGTCAAGCACTGGACTGATGTACCAGAAAGTGAGGTTCATTTTCTAGCTCAGCCACAAACTTCCTGTGGGACTTTGAGTAAGGCAGTGGATCTGCATTCAACTCAGCACACTGTCTAAACTGGAGATCGTACTTCCCTGCTTCGCGAGCAGGTTATGAAGTTAAAATACTAGCTGAGAGGTTTTCTGATACTGTGAAGAGCCTAGCTAGATTTAGAGAGCACATATATCCTTGCTGAGGTTCTCTTGACAGCAGGGCTGTGCAAGCAATTTCTGTTTTGGTTTGAAGTGATTGAATCAAAACAAAAAACAAAAAACCCCGCTGAGTTGAAATGAGCTGTAACACTGTTGTTCTTGTTGTTGCCAAGACAAGAAGAGGAAAACATTCATTTTGGGCCAAACTAAACATTTGGATTCCATTTCACAGAATCGTAGAAAATTAGGGTTGGAAAGGACCTCCAAAGTCATCTAATCCAACCCCTGCTCAAAGCAGGACCATCCCCAACTAGATCATCCCAGCCAAAGCTTTGTCTAGCCAGGTCTTAAAAACCTCCAGGGAAGGAGCTTCCACCACCTCTCTGGGTAACCTGTTCCAGTGTCTTACTACCCTCCTAGGCTAGAGACAGTATTTACACATAAACCAGTTTAACTGATTGGAAACTGGTTTAAACCTGTAACAGAACAGAAGTGCAATATACATAAACCGCTTTCAAAATGGCCAAAACCAGTTTAAGATAAACCTGGTTGGATGCAGTATCAGGCTTGATTGATTTAGGTCAAACTTGTTTATGGAACTTCTGTCCCCGATCCCTTCCTGGTTCAAGTTAACTCTGTCCCCCAGCATCCCAAGATGCTTTGCAGCGCTGGGCTATGCTGTCTGCTCCAGCGGAGCAGGGACTGCCTTGCCTCTCTGCTCCTTAGCCTGCTTCCTGCCTGCATCTGTCAGCCCATAAGGATGGGGGAGGCAGGGGAACAGACCCCACTAGCCAGGGTCTACACAGCATGTGGCAGTAGGGAAAGCCCCTGTGATGGGGGCTTTTCAGCCCTCGGCAACCCTCCCCCCTTCCCAAGGAGGGAAGGGGAGTCCTCCCAGCCGGGTGCCTGCCCATCAGCCCAGCATGGGGAGCTTCCACCCACCCTAGCCCAGGTGAACCCTAGCCTAGGGTGCGGGGAAGCTCCCCAAAGCGGGAGCTCCCCGGTTCCACCATGCTGGACTAATGGGCAGGCACCCGGCTGAAAGGACTCCTTCTTCCTCTCCTCTGGCAGCAGCTGAAGCAATCGGCAGCTGGGAAAGGGGGGTGGGGGGGATTCCCCTCGGCTCCCCAGGGCTGCCTGGGCCAGGGAACCCAGGCTGGGGGAAACCTCCTGTGGGAGAGGCCCCCCAAAGTGGGCCCGCACTCAGACAGGGGCTCTTTAACCCCTTGTGGGGGGACAACGGGGGGCTGGGAGCATGTACTGGAGAGCCAGTGGAGGACACTTGACAGGACTGGTAATGGCCAGCAGGCTGGGAGACAAGCTCTAGCACCTTCTGCCTACTGGCCTGGGTCATTGCAGGCCTCCCCCTGCCTTTCCCAATTGAAAATTAAACATCAGTTCAGTCGGTTATCGGTTCAACGTATGCAGCTTAGAGAAGGCAGCCTAGATTGAATTGATTCAGCCGTAGACTTTCTGACTGTCTGCACTTAGCCCTAGTGGGAGAGTTTTTCCTAATATCGAACCTAAACTTCTCCTGCTGCAGCTTGAGACCATTGCTCCTTGTTCTGTCATCTGCCATCACCATAGAGGACATACAAGAACAGTCGAGCTCCGTCCTCTTCAGGTAGTCGAAGGCTGCTATTAAATCCCTTTTCAGTCTTCTCTTCTCCAGACTAAATAAGCTCAGCTCCGTGAGCCTCTCCTCATAAGTCATGTCCCCAGCTCCAGTGCTGAATAGCGGCAACATATCACTTCCCTTGATCTGCTGGGAAGGCTTCTACTAATGCAGCCCCATATGCCATTAGCCTTCTTCACAACAAAGGCACAGTCTGTGTTGGCTCATTTTGGGTATCTTTGATGCAAGTAAAATCAGACATAATTCATAAAAAAAAAAAAAAAATCATAGTTGGTGTGGTGGTTCTCCTTGTATTTGGTATCCTAATAGGTTAGGGCATTCAGCCAATATCCAGAAGACCCTTCTTAGCTCAAAGGATTTTATTATTTTACCCATGTTGTCCACCTTTTCAGTATCTTAATCACCAGGTTAAATAGAGGGTGCTCTGGGATGGGGGGCCCTCAGTCACTCCTTGATGCTGTTCTCCTTTGTATAAAAATGCCTAAGTATTCACTTGAGCAAAGACTGGTACCCTGCTGTTAAACCTCTCAGGTGAATGCCCTAATCAGATAGAGCAGAATATTCTCTTTCTCAATGAATATTTAAGTATTCAGTACAAAACGGGACAGCCCCGGTCT